CTATGGAAATTTCATGATTGGATACATGGTTCCACTCACTACTGAACATTAGGAAAAATCATGCATTGAAACTAAGTATTATACTTCCAATTAAGAGGGAAAAAAACCCACCCGACACCACAATTCATCAGTTCACAAGCTTTAAAACCGCAAGGAAAAGGCATACAAAACCTCAGGATTATATACTTACGAAGGAACGTATCTTGCAACAGTCTGCAATGCTCTATGGCATGTATTAAAGTTTTCAGAAAGGTCTAAAGAAAGACAAAAGTACTCTTACACATTTGGTTACAGAAAACTAAATCAGGAACCAGCAAAACCAGTTTGCATCGACTAAACGTTTTAAATATTCCCAAGGAAACTGCTTTGCCAAAATGTTGCATTTTTGTTGCTTAGTTTTGGGTTTTTGTTTTTTTTTTTAAAGTTGAACTGCCTTAGTACCAAAGTAAGCATGTAAAATAATTCCAAATAAAATTCATGGCATCACAATAAACTCTGAATGTGCTGCCAGCCCCAAGGCCAGGTATTGTTACATGCTCTCATACTGAATGCTGAACTTGGAATCCAAAATTTATCCCACAATACACAAATATTTAGAAGATATGTTAAATCCAAGTCTGTAACTGGATAAAATCTAGGTAAAGATTATGCCTCACTTTCACAAGAGTCAAACAGAGAATTAGGCAGCCATCATAACAGGTGCTTTTTATCCAAATGGTGTCACACGTGAACAGCAGAAGACTAGCTGGGTCATCACAAGCAGAGATGAAATTTATTCCAGCATTCAAGATAAGAAAACATAAAATTCTTGAAAGACATTTATCTATCTGTTTGCCTTATCAACAAACACATTAATTATGCGGCATTTTTGTTACAAGTATCAATTGTATTTGAGCTTACCACAGACAGACACAACACAAGACGACTCAAGAATTCCCCAAATTACCTAGTTTTATTGAGGTAAATAAAATGGAAAACAAACAAGTCCTAACTTTTCTTTGGCTTTGAAACAAGCTAGGACTGGGAACGTTTTCCTATGCATTCGGTCTTATTCCTACAGATACTGCACCAATAGGAATATTTTGAAAGTAACAAGGAGTGACCACACCACTGATTCAAATACAAGAAAGTCTTTGACTTGGGAATTTAAGGATGTACTGTTTCTTAATGTTTTACATTAACTCACCTAAATTAATTTTGTAAAAAAGGAACAACACGCACTGTATACTTCTTTAGTAAAGGTATTAGAGCAGCACATATAAGCCATGCTTCCTTTATACTCACTTTCATCATCATCATCAGAATCTGAAATATCCACATCATCATCTCTGATGGTTATTCGAGCTAGCAAAAAGTGAGATTATTATATCAAAACTGTACAAATCTTACAAGTAACAGTTTCAATGCCAAATCAAACACACTGGACAACAGTCTTTCTCAGGACTAAAGCATCAAAATTATTCACAAGACTTCCTAAAGTAAGCAGAGGCTCATCAAAAAGACTGTTTCATTCACAGAACCAGGAGGTTCTTGAGACTATCGGACATAATCCTGACGACAGCTTTTGGTTTCCAGTAGTAACAACATTATACAGTTCATCCCTTTCCAAGACATCTTCATAAATGAGGTCTGTGTTAGCCACTAGAATATGCCTTCTAAAATCTAGGTACAGAAAACTATCTGTATCACAATTCAACCACTGAAGTTAAGAAAGTAATCAACAGGAAAAAAACCCCAACCCATTAACTGTGTCATGCATTATATTTATACAGAATTTTGATTAGCAAACAAAGAAGATTAAGAGAAAAGGAAAAGTGACTTACGGGGGACAAACTGTGATACAATCATCCGGAGGCATGGCCTAAGATGGACAGTTTGTGCTGACACTAGATTGCCAAGAAAACCCAGGTATTCTTCCACTACCTCTCGGCTTCTTCTCAACCATGGCAGCTTCTGAATGTAAGCAAAGATTGAGATGTCAAAGACAAACATTTTGAGTACTAAACTCTTAATCTTCCCTTCCAACAAACAGAGATTTACCAGCAAAAGGCTGACCAGTTGTTCAAGCTCTTTGGTCAAATATGCAACAGAAGCTCGAAATTCATGCAGCCAATTAATGATCTGGGCATCCTTAAAATAAGCAGAAAAAAATAGGTAACTATTCCAATAAACAGTATTACCTATTACCAGAAAATAACAAAATCCTTAAAATAAAAAGTCAGAGATTAAAATTGTAAATAGAAATGATTTTCACATCAATATGCAAGGAATTCCTTTAAGTTTGTGTCCTCACCAATGAAAAGTTCTTGAATGCACAAATAAATGCATACCAACTCCTAAACCAAGAGCCCGCCTAGAAGGCTTAAGCTACAGACTCAGCAAGGCATGCAAACCTCACTCACACAGAACATATTTAAAAGAAATGGCATTAAATCTTAATTTTATTTTCTTTTTGCTCCTGCTTAAGCAGAAAAATAAAGTATTTTACAAAATGTCCTCTGTAAAGGGAAAAGGAACTCAATAGAACATTATGCTTCCTGCAGCATTCATCTCACAGCCTCATGGTTTAATTAAAATGAAAAAAGAAAAATGGAAGGAAAAAGAAAGACAGCAAACGTGGTGGGTACTCACAGCTATAAGAGCCGTGAAACAATACTTCTGGGTATAACTACTAAATGCATTAATTAATTAAACAAGTTTTTAGTGAGAACAGGAAAAGATAAAAATTCACGGAACTTAAAAGGCTGTGAAAGTCAGAAACCATGGTTTGATCCATGGAAGTAATCTGTAAAGGCACCATCTTTCTAGGTCACTGATGCTTATCTGGAACAAAACCAGACTCCATCACAAAGCAAGGTTTCTCGCTCTAAAGAGTCTGTAAGCATGAAATATCATTTATCAAGTTTCTGGATATAAGATATATACATGTAGAAAGAGACAACTGCACTTTTTAAATTTACAGTTTTAATTCCAATAGCTTCCACAAAGCAAAAAGCTGTTAAACGCACCTAAGTGTTTAAAGCAAAGGATTTGGGTAAGCACCAGAATGACTGGTCTGATGATTACACTCAGCCGAACTTTAAATCATCAGACCCTTTGCTACCAAGACCTTACCTTTATGTCTGGATCTGACAGCTGATGCTTTAACAACTCAAAATCTGTGGTCTCGCCCTAGCAGGGGAAAGAAAAGTAAGTAATTAACACCCATATTTTTTCCAGCAAAAAATACAAGTTCCATCAGTGTATCTGAACAACCTAATATTGCTTAACAGTTACATGAAGAACACGAGGAAGCTCAAGGAAAGCTGAAGCAGCAGTAACAGAACACCGTCTCCGAAAGGCAACCGAAGCCACCGGGTCACTTTTAGCCGCTCTCCCCGCGGCCAGAGTCGTGACCACTCCGCACCCTTCTGGCGTAAGCCAGGACGTCACTCGGGTTGACTCGCATGGGGAATTTTTTCACTCGCACAGCCACACCGCCCGGCAGGAGCCTACCGCACTCAGCCGCCTGCAGGTTTTTTTCCTAAGCCTTCAGCCGCGGGCTCGTGCAAGGCGAAAGGAGCCTTCACACCGAGATGACACCCCGACAGCTAGCGCGCCGGGCAGTCGCGCAGCCTGGAAGGAGAGCAGCCCCCCGCGGGGAGCCGCG